AAGAGTGTGGTGGGAAAGAAAGAGTCCCCACTGAATAGTTATCATCTTGTCTAGATGGGTCTGCTGAAAGGAAATGGGGATAAGATTCGTAAGATTCAATAGTAAATAACTGTTATCATGACTAATTGCGACTGTCACAATTGTAAAGGTAGGAGTTTTGTAACAAAAAAAGGGAAGTGGTTAATCTTACAGTCCAGAAACAGAGGACCCTAGGACCATCAAGAGAGGAACACACAAATAGAATGAGGGACCTCATCCCAAGAAGCAGCAGTACCAGAGATGGAGGCAGAGATGGGGGCATGGAGAGGGGAAGCAGCTGAGGACTGTAGATTCATGGACTAAGAAGAGAAGGACTAAGAACTGGTGGCCAGGAGCAGACTTGCAGAATGTGCCCTTTGGAGGTGTAATTTATTATATATGCCTGAATGGGAAAAAAAAAGAAAGTATTGTTACTAAATCACAGAAACCTTTATTAAAATATCAAAACTTGAAAGAAAAAAAAAAAAGAAGTGACTGGATTACAAGCTTTTAAGAGGGAGCCTAATTTCAGAGGGTTCAGGGGAAGGTAGAATCTCTACTGAGTAGTTTCCAACCTGTCTGGATGGGGCTGGTGAAAGGAGATGGAGATAAGACTCTTGTAGTTCAGTAGAGTAGTGAATAATTGCTATCAGGACTGACTGTGAGTGTTGGAAATGTAAAGGTAGACATTCTAAAAGAAAAGGAGGGGAGTGATTGATCTTGCAGTCAGGAGTGGAGGACCCTGGGACCATCAAGGGAGAAGAGCGGAGTGAGGGATCCTATCCAGACAAACAGTGATGCCAGAGATGGACACAGAGATGATGTGGAGATATGGAGTGGCTGGGGACTCTGGACTCAGGGAGGGAAAGGAGCTGTGTACTGATGGTGGGGGGGAGGCAGGGGGGTGGGTGTCAGGCTTGCAGAGTATACCCTCTGGTTGTTTGATGATGCATGGAAGGCACTGTAATCATTATAGGATGAATGTAATGCTAATGTTCTCCCATGTAAACTATCACTCAATTCACAATAAGATTTTTTTAAAAAGGTAACTTCAGGGCATAAACACATTGAGGGACCTCCTATATAACAACCCTGTTCTAGGGGATTTCTGCATACAGCAATCTCTGCTTTCATGAAGCTTATATTCTAACAAAGAAGACAGACAATAAATAAAGGAAAATTTATAAAGTAAACAGATAGTAGCATAAAGGGAAAAGATAAATATGAGTTGGAGGTTGAATCCTTCAAGACCTTAAGTCAGAGAAGTAGTGAGTCATTTGTGCATCTGAGAAGACGGCAGGCAGAGGGAAATACAAGAGCAAAGGTAACGTAACAGGAACAAGCCTGAGACATGTTCCAGGTCAGCAAGGAGGACACCATGGCTGGAGCAGAATAAACAAGGGAAACAGTGGGAAGAAGTGAAGTCAAAGAGGTAACAGGGAAAACCAGCCACTGTTGTTGAATCAATTCCAACTCACAATGATCCTACAGGACAGAATAGAACTGTCCCTAGGCTTTATGTCATATTTACTGAAGCACTTTGCCACATCTATCTCCCACAGCATGGCTGGTACATTTGAACTGCCAACTTTTCAGTTCGCAGCCGAGTGCTGTGTCACTGAAGCATTGGGACTCTGTAAGAGGGAAGGAGAATGGCGTTTTCTCAAAGGGAAGTGAGCTGGGAAGTGACATGACCTGGCTTCACTTTACAAGGACTGCTTCCACTGTGGTGCAGAGACCAGTGGTTCAGCTGTTAGACTCATTCAGATGAAGATGATGCTTGGTTTACTGCAAGGACTGCAGTGGAAGTAAGGAGTAAAGCACTTGGATTCCAGCTACACTTTGAAGATTGAGTACACAGGACTTGCTGAAGGCCACAAGTATTTTATCATATTACATCACAATAATAAGTGAAGAGGCTAAACCTGAATAGTCAATATTCAATGGTAACATTCTACAACTTTCTTAAATCCTACTGTATTTAATGTATAGTCATTAGAGATATCTTCTTACCTGCTAAATTTTCTCTCAACTTCTCCAGTTCAGAGGACAGCACATTAAACTGTTCTTCTTTTTGGTGTAATTTGGTAACAGTTTCTATTTTGGATAAAGCAAGAAGCTTAGTATACCTCATATTTACTAAGTCATCCAAAGTTTGGCTTTCTTACAGTCAAATCCAATCATGTTTTTATGAGGGATGAGATACCGGGACACTAAAAAATCCCATTATAAATCAAACCACAGTATGGCAAATCTACAAAAGGATTATGAAGAAGCAAGGAGGCTTCTCTTCACTGCCTCCCTAAGCTTGCAGGCATGAGGCATCCCTTTGGCCAGTCAGCTCTTTCCTCCAAGTAAAAGTAAATATAAGTATCAAGGACTACAGCAAAATTTAAAAAATACTTTTCCCAAATAGACTTACATATGGAACAAACTTTAAGTCAAAAGAAGAAAAGAATTAATGGGGAGCTTGCAATTACAGGAATCTAATAAAATCCAGCATTCCTTTAAGATGTGGGAACTTCCAGGATGGTGAATTAACACTAAAGGTAGAAGCTATTTTGTATATTCAGGGGCAGGTCCATGTTGAAATTATGACAGTCTCTACAGCCATCTGCTCCGACTTTCAAAATTAACACATACCTTGCATACTTTCCTGAACAGAGACAGCCTCCTTTGAAGCATCAGCAAACTTTTCTTTCTAGAGACAAGAACAGGATGCTCAGAACAAAAAGATTTCAAAATTTCAAAGTATGGAGATAAAAAATCTCTATCAGTTAACCCTCCTATAACACTATCTGCTTTTAGTTTCTAGTTCTGCTTCATTGAAACGAAAGTATGCTTAACACTTATGACATCAATTACCCTTCCCTGTATACTGTGCACACATGCACATAAGGACACACACAGATGAGGTTACATGTGCAGGTTTGTGTGTGGGTATACATGTACATATGTGCACGCATGTATGAACGTGCGTTCTTTTTCCTCGTGTTTGCTACCCTCGTATAACAACAACCTCTTCAGCAATCAGTTTGAGACCATGAACAGAGTTGCAGAGTTTTCTTTATCTGAGAGTAACCCCAACCTACAATCTTGATTCTAGGTCTGTGTCTCTAACAGCTTCCAGTGAGACAGCCCTTTACTCACAGACTAAACATGACGACAGGCCAAGAGAAAGGCACTCTCCTGGTTGCCTTGAGATGATTTTGAGATAGGAATACCAAAAGAACTTTTAAATGGTTACTTCTGACTAACTACATCTATAATGAGATGGGCCTGTATGCCCAAAGTCCACCCAGAGTTGACCACACATGCTATGCCCAGAGCCAGACATAAAGTGGCACATTTTCTGTTTAGACTACAAAAAGAATACTCAAAAGCATTGGAAAAGTTTGCAGAGGAGAGTACTTTCTTAGGAAAAAAAAAATACTACAAAATAGTGATTCCTAGACCAACTTCTGCCCAAAATGTAGCTAGATACCAGGATTGTTCATGAGCACGTTCTGCACTGCCCAATATAGCAACCACTAGCTACATGGGGCCACTGAATAATTACAACGAAGTCAGTACAACTGAGGACCTAAGTTTTACTAATTTAAATTTATGTAGCCATACTGGACAGTGTAGCTATATACTTATCATTTATTTTTTAAAACAGTTTGTAATATTAACACTTAAATAACAAAACAAGCACACATATTTAATCATCATTGGTAGTAGCACAGACGTAGGTAATTGGGAGGACTGAAAGATGGGATCCTTTGTGGCTCCTCTAGACACCTATGGTTTTCCTTCTCCAAAATGAGTGCCCATCACTAGCACTGCTCATGCTGTCAGCCATGATGATGTAATGTTCTCTGGTGCAGAAGGCAAGGTAAGAAGGAGGAAAAGCTAAGAAAGGGGGTGGATTTCTTACCCCTTGGGTTTAAGGAAAGAGGGCATATTATGAAAGGAAATGTAATTTCCTTAGGTTGAATAAACTTGTGAAAAGGGATTCTTTGAAATCACTGAATTGGACGGTAGCCTGTCTCACTAACTGGTGACTCAGGACAGTTGCTGGCTTGCTGCCACACACAGCTCTGAAGCAAGGGGAAGGCACAGAGACATGTCCTCATCATACATGAGATATAACTGTGTTGGATGCATGATTTAAAAGCTACCTGGGATTAACACTAAAAAGACAAAACAAAACTCCAAATCTATAGGTGCTGAGTCAATTTCAACTCATTGCATCACTGTATAAGACAAGGACAAACTATTCCTTAGGGTGTCACACTGTCAGTGTTTACAGCAGACACTCTCCATTTTCTACCAAGGAGCAGCTAGTGGGTTTGAACAAGCAACCCTCTGGTTAATAATCCAATGCTTAGCCCATAGTATCACCAGAGCTTATTAACTCCTGCTGGCACAGTGCGTTATTTAATAAACATCAGGCAGCTAACTAAAAAGGGCGGCAGTTCAAACCCACCAATTGATCCCCAGGAGAAATCTGTGGCAGTCTGCTTCTGTAAAGATGTACAGCCTTGGAAACCCGGTGGAGTCATTCTACTCTGTCCTAAAGGGTTACTACTGAGTCCACATTGACTTGACAGCAACAGGTGGGAAACGACATTCTGAAGCAGTGTACTCACAGAGGCAGAGGATCGATTAAAAAAAAAAGTAATACTCACCTTTATTGCTAGTTTAGGTTTGATCTGATTCCCATCAAAGTGTTTATCAGTCAGCAATTAATAAACTCAATTCAAACTAACACTTTGAAGGAGAAACAAAATAGCTGCCATACTTATTGATCTGTGCAAGTATTTGTTTTTAAACAGGAACAACTGGCCATGAGCCCTGAAATTCAGATTCCCAAGAAGTACTTACCAAAATCTGAAGCTCCTTCTCCAACGTCTCTTTCACTTGAGTGACTTCACACAAATTTTTCTGAAGGTTAGTAACTGTTAGCTCTCTCCCCTGGAGCTCTTTGGTAATGCTACTAGTCTAACGGACAGTTACATGGTATCGAGGCAAATGGACAAAAGGGAAATAAAAATGAATGAGAAGGAAACAAAATAAAACAAGTGCAAAAAAAAAATATGATAAACAAACATAACAAAGCAAAGCTGAAAAGAATAAAGGCATGGATAAATTGTTTTTTAATTGTTATTATTCAACACTGACTTTTCAATTAATCAGTTCTAGATAGGGTTGTTTAGAGGTTATTTTTAAATAGCCAAAACAGACTATCTACACCAAGACTTAGGCTATTAGGATGATCCAAAGCTGGAAGTGTAGAAGTTTTCTTTTTAAATGAGCTACTTGAACAATGTGTTTTTCTGAGTTTAAATTTCTTTTTAAAAAATGGGTTGTTAGTAAATGTTGTCTGTGTTATTATGGTTTGTATTTTGGGGTAGGCTTAAAGTATTTCAATACATTTTAGAAATCCATTTGGCAAGAGTCATCAGAACTTGGCTTTCATTAAATTTTGATGTCAATGAAAAAAACATAGGTGGGCCAACCAGTAGTTCAATCGTTTCTTCTATTAAGTTTTGTGGTTCTGAATGGTGTTTTGGAACCACGTGAGGAGACTGGAGAAAACATTCCTGTAGTCAGTTTGTCAAGTTAGCAATGTCTTGCTGTTTGTCTGTCCTCACCTCTCCCCATTTAACCATTCCTTCTTGCCAACAGAGCAGCTTCTCCCACAGAAAACTCAGAACATTCAGCATCAATACCATCTCCTTTACCTAGCGACAGGAGAACTTAGGAAGAGCTTTCACTCAACAGCCCTTTAAAATGAAGATGACATTTACTAAGGCTAGTAAGCAATGTTATCTCATGAATGATTTTATTTAGTCTTTCCTCAAAGAAAAGTGGGAATTAATGGGGTTCTCATTGAAGGACAGGAAAGACCCCAATGAGACAGAAGTAGCAACTCAAAGAGCTCCCAGCTCTTCAACTGAATTTTGCTATGGATATTATCTGTCATAGTTAAGCAGCATACACAGACTTCCATTTTGCTTTTATCTATAATCCTACAGGCAAGGCAACTCTGTAGGCAGACAAGGAGGAGATGATCTCGTAATTTTCTATCTTAATCATTCATTCATTCATACATTTACCTTAACTCAACACCATCAATTTAGGAAGTTCTCTATCTTAAAAGTATTTAGAGCCTGGAACCAAGCTCAAGCAGATCAGAACACTGCCCAGAGATAAAGTACCATATAAAGTAATCAAATACAAAACCAATATCTAGAATTGATTCTCATAGTTGAGGTATCATTTTCTATAATCTCCTCAGATGAAACTATACTCACACTATTCAGAAGATACTATACTCAACTGGGAAAACTGTTAATATGAAACAATTTGTTTTAATTAAATCAGGAATTTGGAGGATGAATGAGCTTAACTCAAAAGTAACGTACAACGCAAAATAAGAACAACAAATGGAAAACAAACAGATGGAGGGCGTCAATACAAACCTTGCCACTCTCAGCATTCTTTTCAATCTCTAAATTTTTAATCTGATTCTTGGCTGCCTCAAGCTGCTGTCTAAGATTCTCGATTTCCGATTTACCTTCGGAACTGGCTTTCCGAAGCGCATCAAGATCCAAGAGCTTCTCTTCAGTAGCCTTGAGCTGTGATGTAAAATTATCAATAACCTTGGTTTGTTCACTGCATTTGGCTTGCAGTACCTCTAGCTCCTTTACCTTTATTTCCGCTTCCTGTAATTTGTTTAGCGTGTCTTCCATTTCGATGAGATGTTGGTCCTCTGCTCTGTCCATCTTTGAGGTAATGGCTTCCAGACTGTTCTCCTTTTCTTTAATGACTTTCATCAGATTAGCCCTAAGGGCTTCTAGCTCTTTAGCGTGAGCAGACCGTTCAGAATCTTGTTTATTCTGTAAATTTTCTATCTCATGCTGGTAATCTAGTCTCACTTTCTCTATTTGTGTTTTTAACTCTGCCAATTCTGCTGTTTCCATTCCGACTCCCTTGCTAAAGGACACCTTCAGCTCTTCCATCGCCTGCTGATGGGATGCAATGGCAGTCTCCAGCTTTGATTTCCACAGAGCTATCACATCTGAGTTCTCCTTATTGGCATGATCAAGCTTGCTTTTCAATGACTCATTCTCTTTGGAAAGCTTCTCCGTTGCTGTCTGTAGGGCCTTTATCTCCTTCTGGTGTGTTTCTTCACGGACTCCAAAATGCTCCTTCAGAGAAGTTATTTCTTTCTGGCGGTCAGTCTGAGTGGATTCTAACTTTTCTTGCAGAGAACTTATCTCTTGCAGCAGGGAAAGTGACATATCCACATCCCCTGCAGGCTTACTGGACTCAAGTCTTCTTCGGAGCTCAGTTACTTCCTGGACTCTCAATGCCAGGTCTTTTTCTAGTTCCATGATGCGAGACTTTTCTGACACTGTAGCCACCTATCAACAACAGTCCAAAGAAAAAGAGTTTTTAAGTAACAACTCACTAGTGACTTTCTTTAACATCTTAGGCAGCAGTCATACTACAAGAAGAACCTATGTGATCACCTATACAGGGTCAATGACTCAGAACCAACGTGACAGCACTTAATAATAACAACAACAACAATGTATCTACAACTGCAATAACGTTCTAAGTACCATTCTGGCAACTCTGATTCAAAATTATAATCTTTGGAAAAGCATCACCATTTCAAGGTGCTAAAAGGATCTAGAAGAGTCTAGTATTTATTTTTCTTTTAAAGAACTCAAATCATGGAAATATACATTCAGTGACAGTTATGTTCACAGAAGCCATAAAATTCCAAGTTCTCAGCTTAGAAGAATGTTCCTCCTTAGCTCACCAGCTGTGGCCTGTGCTCCTGGCACCTAGCAGAGGTGATCTTATAGAGCAGTACTGGCCCTAACAGAGGCCACCAGCCACATATGGCTCCTGAACACCTGAAGTAAGACTAATCTGAAGTGAGATGTGCCAAAGTTATGAACTACACATCCTAATCTGAACACTGTAGAACAAAAGAATGGGAAGTGTCCTGCCAGTATTTTTTATATCAATTATATAATAAAATGTTACTATTTTGGATATATTGCTTTAAATATATTAGTAAAATTAATTTCAACTGTTTCTTCTTTTCACTTATCAAAAAGTCAATATGGATACCAGAAAAATTTAAATTATGTAAGTGTGGCTCACGCTATATGTCTACTGGATGGGGCTGGTATAAAATAACCTGTCAGAGATTTCAATAAATATCACCTATAGAATAAGAGAATATGGAATTAAATGAAGAAATAATTTATTAATTTTTTAAAATGACAAATCAGAATGATTACTTACCTGCAATTATACATAAGACTTTCATACAGATTCCCCCTCTTATAATTCTCTCAGCATTCTGATGTGCACATCTTGTCCCCTAACCCAGTGGTTCTCAGACTGCAGTGTGCACATTAATCATCTGACATGAATGTTCAAAATGCAAATTCCCAGTTACTCCAAGCCTTCTGATCCTGAGCTCTGGAGTAGGACCACGGAATCTGCTTTTTAAAAAAATCACACACACACACACACACACACACCTCGGGGCTAAGAGAAACACTTTCTTGACCTGTGTCCAGTCATTCTAAGAAAATTACGTCTCTCTGCTAAAGTAGAGAGCCAGAGGCCTTCAACAAGATGGATTAACACAGCGGCTGCAACAATGAAGTCAAACAGCAACAATTGTGAAGATGGCACATGACCAGGCAGGGTTCTGAGAGTCAGACCCACTCAACAGCATCTACCAAGACCTTTCAGGCAGTCAACATACTATAAAGACATGTGAAAAACTGTAGCTTTAGGCATAACAATGAATTATTGGACTAATCTGAGGAATAGAAGGCAAATAAAAAATTTACAAACTCCAGTAGTGAGCCCTAGATTTCAAGGGACTCACCCATACTGCTTCTTATCCTGGCAGAAAATACTCAGTGTGTACTGCTTTGGCCTCCTCTGCCTGCTGCTGACAATGATGACAGTGAAAACATCAATCAAAGAGAAGAAGAAGCAAGGATGACCTGGAGCCTAAAACTGTGTAACCAAGTCATTCAATATGTCAACGGGAACTACAATTGTGCTCTGTGACTTAAAAATAGATTAATTTACCCCCCTGTTTCCTGGGAAGGGGGAGTCTAAGAGTTTGCTACCACAAAGTAAGTGCAAAACATCAACAAACCCCAATGCTGCAAGATTTATTCTATGTTGTTGCTGACTTTAAGTGCCTTTGAGTTGGTTACAACTCAGTTACAGGGTTTCCGAAGCTATAAATCTTTGTGGGAGCAGAAAGCCTCACCTTTCTCCTGCAGAGTGGCTGGTGAGTTTAAACCACTGAGCTGGTAGTCCACAGTCCAGTGCTGATCCTACTGAGTCACTGTGTTCCCAACAAAGGGCAATAGTACTTAACTAGTCACAAAACAATCAAATTGAGAAAATGCCAAACAGAAAACAAGCAAAAATAATTAACAGCAGTAAGATTCTACTTTGCATATATATAAGCATTTTCACAAAACTTTGACTTTTCATTTCATTTCCCACATCTACTCTCACTTGAAACTACCTATGTGTCAGTCTCCCAAAAGGCAGGAAGCATTTCTTAGTCTTGCTAATCTCTATGGCGCTAAGCACAATGTTTACAAACAAAATTTATTGGCCAAAAGCAATTCTAAAAACAAAAAACAAAAAAATTCATTGCTGTTGAACTGATTCCAATTCTCTGCAACCCTATGGGACAGAGAAGAACTGCCCACGTGGTTTCCTCAGCTGTAGTCTTGATGGAAGCAGACTGCCTCATCTGTCTCCCAGGGGAGCAACTGGTGGGTTCAAACCACCAGGCTTTTGTATAGCAGCCTACCCAGCAACCACTGTGCCACCAGGATTCCTTAAAGGAACACGCGTGGTATGAAACGCACGTGGTCACTGTTCGTGACAGCTTCGGACTCCAACAAGGAAGGTCTAGAGAGGACACTGTTTGTTATAGAAATGTAACAGCCTGAATCTAAACTACTTGGGTACGTCATGCTGTAAACAGATGCCTTCTTATCCACAGAAAACTTCAACGGTGTGTGCTCACAAAGCTACGGTATTAAAAAATAGTTCAAAAATTTTTAAAAAAGAAGTCCTTATTTCAACAGTCAGTCCCACTAAAGGAACTCAATCCCTTTTATTTCTTATGTCAAGCCTTCAACTCTCAGGTAACAAAGAAACAGCATGAAACGATCACCTTTGTGTGCGTGTGTTGGGTCTTTTCCCTTACTAACTACACAGCATCAATCTTCAGTTTTGTAGCTAATTAAGAACATTTTTTTTCCCCTTAAAAAAAAGGACTAAGAGAAAAAAATTTAGCTATTTCTCACCTGGAGAAATATCTAAGTTTACAAGTAATTCAAAGGGGAAAAAAAAAAATCATGATTCCCAAATCTGATCTGAGAAAGAGTAATTTTCCAAAATTTCAAGTTATAACCTGGGTGGCTTAGTGACTGACAGATTCATTATTCGTGTACAATTACATATGTACATGGGCACCGATGTTCTCACATGTAAAGGGCTCAGAATCATGAGTCTTAAAGTTTTTAGCACAGAACACTGTCCCTACTCGAGGCCATCCAGTCGTGCTGAAAAGCGCAGACTCACAAGCCAGTCGGCCTGGATGGAATGGCTGGCTCCACCATGACTGTTCATTGTGTAACAGGGGCCAATTATTTCACCTCTGTGCCTAAGTGAAGCATTCCTGGTGGTGCAGTGGATTACCACAAGGCCGGTAGTTTAAACCCACCAACTGCTTCTTCCAGAGTACGAGGAGACAGCCTGCTCCAGTAAAAATGTACAATCTCAGGCACCCTAAGGCACAGTTCTAGTCTGTCCTATAAGGGTCACTGTGAGTCGAAATTGACTCAGTGACAGTGGGTTTTTGGTGCCTCAGTGATCTCATCTCTAAAATGGGGACATTGATACTACTAAGTCTGTGTTGTGGTTAGACTGAATGAGTTAAGCTTGCAAAGTACTTAGCCTGGCATGAAGTAAGCACTCCATCAACATTTTCATATATAAATACACTAAAACATCACTAACACACCAGCTTACAGTGGCTAAGACACTCTGGCCCCAGCACACTTTTCCCTCTTGACCACGAAGATTTCAACCTCCAAGGCAATAGAAAGGAGAAAGATGCAAAGAGGGACCAGGTAAAATAAACAAAAGGCAACTGGGATTACCGTCCTTAACTCCTTAACTCTCATTAAAAAAGAGCCACTGCTTCAATTCTCTTCTCCCAAGATGCCAAGAGAGCTAATATAAAACAACTGTAACAAAGAATAACTTAAAAAACCCAACAGCGAGGATAGTCTGACAGCAAGAGGACAATCGACTGCTGGGGGCGAAGTGGAGAAATGCAGTTCAAGGTCTCCCTATGAAGAAGCTCAAGTGGACCTGAGAAGGGCCGTGCCATCGGCACAGCAAGAAAGTCTCTGCTCTCAGTTTTGGTTGAGTCTTTACAACTAATGCAAAACTGGATATACAACAAATGCAGTCTACCCACCAGTTTGAACACCTGGACAGCAACAAGAGCAAACTCAGGTTGAACCACTGGGTCAAGGGTCAGGCCAACAGCATGGCACATCACCCAAAGTGTCCACCACTCACACACAGGGGTCTGCGTCATTAAATAGTGAAAACCATTACCCTAGTGTCTTCTAACTCCCTCTGGAGTTTGTCAGCTTTGGTCTTTTCAAAGAGCAGGCTCTGTTCAAGCTCCTTAATGCGGGCATGCTCCAGTTTGGTCTGCGTCTGTTAGTAAAAAGGGAGAGGAAGAGAACACAACAGTGCCACCATCACACGCCAGCACAAGAGGAAAGAGCGGCATGCAGGCTGAGACGCCGGTACCTTCCGCCGGAGGATGAACAAAAGAGATGATGGAAAGAAGAGGAGGATGGCAATGAGATGAGGAGGCTGGGCTAGCGGTGAACACGGTGGGCACAGGATGGTGGTGGGCAGGGGAGATGAACTAGTCTACTGAGAAAGCAAAACAGACAACACAAGAGGCGAGGTGAAAAGTGTCAGATGCATGCAGCCGAATATAAGTGATACTGAGAAGTGACATTTATCAGCACAAATTAGAACCGTTAATATTCTTCTAAACTATCATTTCCCCTGCTCCCATAGTGGTTACTAGACAGTACTATGGATGTCACTGGCTCAATGACTTTAAAAAAGGAGTTGTTCCCCAAAGTGATCACTATCAACGAATATGGAATAGAACTTCAGAAATCTGACAAGCACTTGAGACGTCCGTCCCTTGAGGAGGGGCCTTGCACTATGGCGTAAAATTTGATATGAGCACAGCTCAGATATTAAATTCTGATTAGAGGAATCCAGAATTTATTACTGAGGTAAATCACACCCATAGTCTTTGCTTATTTGGATAAGAAGGTGTAAAAGTCTTAGCAAACAACTCATCTATGGCAGGTTGGTTATCCAAAGGTTTTAAAAAAAAAAAAAAAATCAGCTATACAAAGAGAAAATGTTGTAAAAACGACCCTTTATAGCCTCTATCTCTGCAGCAAGCCAGTCAGAGACTCAGCAGGAGAACAGCTGAGTGAGAACTGGCAAGGGACTTATTATCTTTACCCTGAGATGAGGTAGGTCTTACCATCTTAGAGGTAAGAATGGTGATGCCACACAACGGCCTGAGTTTGTACTGCCTGCCGCAAAAACAGCTGGTGGGAGCCCCAAGTGGCTGAAAACTCCTGAAGGGTCACAGATACTCACTAGCACCCACATCGCGCACTCAGAGGTAACCTGGAGGGAAGCTCAAAAGATGGTCTCACACAAGTGTGAGTGTAGCAGGATCTTAATAATTCAAAATGATCTAACTGCTCTTCCCTCCTCCTCAAATAGGTGTGATCAGCAAAATCAACTGTAAAACCTACTGCCCCTGCTGCTCTGAGCAGCTGCCTGTGACAAGCTCTAATTTAAACACTGTGTAGCCCTCACAAGTCTCACCTACCAGTCTGCACAATTAGGGGCAGTGGGAACAGGACAAGAAGGTCTGCACAATGTGAAAGAGAGTAGTGCAGAGCTTCTGGAGAAGGTGGAATGTAAACATACAGATTACAAACGTCTTCACTCACTCCAGTGGTACTGGGGATTTCACTGCCTACCTTCAATTTACCAAATAAATACTCGTGGAATATGTAAAAGGTGAACAAAAAAAAGAAGGAAACTCTCCAATGGTGTCAGGCCTTTATGCTCAACACAAATAATGAAATACAAATTCCAGACCTCTAATTCTCTGGTCTATATGTGTCACTGACATGTGGCATTCAATGTAGCTGCTTTGACAAGAAAAGACTCGAATCCAGAATTATAGAACTGGGGTCACAGCCTCAGGACTTGGAATCCCAGACTAATAGGAAACAGCCAAAGCCAACAGAACCTTGCCTCTCCCCTTCTTCTCTGGATGAAGGGCCAGTATGAGAGGGCTTCAAAAAGTTTGTGGAAAAAGGGAAGGAAAATACTAGAATTTTTCCATGAACTTTTTGAAGCCCCTTCATATTTCCAGAGAACAAGCAATTACCATTTAATATGATCTTCTCCTCATTCAGAGATCTTCCCAATGAGGGCAGCAAACCCCAAGTGGAAGGGGGCGCCCACAGAGCCTGTGATCACTCATCAGGACAGGAGCTGATGAGCCACTGTTTGGCCACAGTGTGCAGTCAAAATGCTACACATGCACAGGACAACCCTCCTTTCTTAGACTAAAATGTGGAGTTCCCCAGGAGGAAGGTTCTGGCGGGAACTGAGAAGGAAGCAGAGGCTCTGCTAGAAGTGCACATAGAGGCAGGAGGAGCCCATGCAGCCCAACACCAGGACACGGGGACACCAGGGCGGTAGGAGGCTGCTTAGGAAGGCAAGAAGAGACCCAGATCATGGAAGGAGCGTCACAAAAAGGAACCCTCTGAACACAGACTTTTGTGGTTTTTAAAGTTCAGTCTTGAGTTTTCTATGTTCGCTTCCAAGAAGCCGTTAAACCAAAGCAAGCAATTTCTCTATTCTAGTCACATGGTGGCACAGTTGGTGGGGACCACTGCGCAACACCGCTTTGCGGGTCATTTTGGTAAGGCTCACACTGGCTTCCTGGTACTGATCGGAGGGAGGAAGGAAAAGAAAACAGGGACATGGCTAGGAGCACTGTTACAGGAAGACAAAAATCTCACTTCAATGATAATAAACTAAAAGATGTAGAGTCTTTACTGGAGAATGCTTGCCTCTGTTTCACATTTCAGGGGAAGGAACCCTGGTGTGCCATGGTAAGAGCTCTGCTGCTAACCAAAACGTCAGCAGATTGAACCCATCCACCCAGAGGCGCCTTGGAGGAAAGGCCTGAAGAATTGCTCCCACAAAGATGGCAGCTTAGGAAACTCTATGGGGCAGTTCTACTCTGTCCTAAACCTTACTATGAGACAGAAACAAATGAAATGGCAAGCATTGGCCAGCAGGAGGAGTGCATATAAAAGGCCATGTTGTTAAGTGCTGTGAGTTGGTTCCAACTCATAGTGACCCTGTACAGGGTTTCCAAGAAGCGGCTGGTGAGTTTGAACCGCTGGACTTGTGGTTAAAACTGACCTTGCAGTCCAGTGCTTTATCCCACAGTGCCACACCACAATGGCTGGGAAGGTCAGTTCCCTCTTATCATCCCACAGAGATAAAACTAGAGACCTGGGAATTTTCTCCCAAATTTCTACAAGTCCTTCAACAGATATATTGTATTCTTCACTCACCTATTATTTCTTTCTGAATAACTTGAAAATTTGAATACATTATGAATTAGGTAAAGGAAGCTAGGCCCCTGGATATTTTTTTTTCCTTTTCAACAAAATTCTTTATAAAGTAAACTTTTGCCTACCCGTTAAAGGAATGAATTTATGAAGCTTAGTCATTAGAAACAATTTCTCCAGGACAACAAATGTAATTGTTCTGAAAGCCACATGCACAGAAATATTAAGGCCAATGTCCCAATGTCAACTGATGCAGTTAGTATTGGAGTGTATCGACAAGCGTTTTAATCTGTAATCAATCTGTGTTAACAGGGAAATAGCCACACACTTAAGTGCCCTCTTACATTCTCAGGATCTTCAGAAATCTGGCTCTTTTGCTATCAGTAAAAAAATAAAAAAAATTAAAGAACAAAAAAAAAAAAAAAGACTCAACTAAAGTTTCAATGTCTGTTAGGGTTTAAAGATAACTTTTTTTTTTTTTATTAATTACAAGTAAGTTTATCAAACAGACTATCCTAGCCTAGTGCTGATATAAATATTTTAACCTGACCCTTCCCCACAACACCACAGTTTATATCTCTTAGGAATTAGACAATGACATGAAATTTCTAGTGACTCTCTGGGGATGTTTTTAAATGAATGAGAACAACACAAAAGTGAACTAAAGAAATGTGTGACTGTATATGAAATGAACAAAGATGATATTAAATCATTAATCATGTATTACATTTTAGACCTCTAGAAATCAGAATTATGTTCCCTCTACTCTCCATTAACCATAAAAACGTATTTTTTTCCAAAGAAATAACAACTTCTATTTTGGAAGGGTCCCTGAAATTTAAGTACTGTGTGGGTCATCAAAATTGCAATAGTAGCAAAAATGTGTATTCTGAAAACTGTACAAGTAGGTACAATTTCTACTAAAATATTACAGATTAAAGAACCAAAGTCTGCAGAATTTGGAGCAGTTAAAATAATTTACATTTGTCATATATCTAGCAGTGGTTCAAAAACATCAAAACCATTGAATTCTGGAGTCTAATTCAAGTGTGAATGTGAATAATGGCTGAGAAAATTATGCCAAAGGAAAATATGAATTCAAAGAAGTAAAACAAATTTAAATTAAATTGTTTTTTATTTTTTGCTCTGGTGACTTTTTAAAAAAATCAACTACTAAGAGCATATGTTTATCTCTTTCATAAGGATACAAAATTTATCCAGCTCAATTAAAAAACAAAACTAAGATAAAGCCAAGTTATGTTCTGGGCTGTTGCAATAAAATTTTAAATTGTGACTTCCTATCATCAGAGAAGCACATATGAAGAGGCTTCAAATAGTGGAAAAATAGAATGAACAGATGATGGAATTTTTCCACAAACTTTCTGAACCCCCCCCCCCCCAATACATTCTCACACAGGCCTGCTTTGCAGGGAGGCACACTGCCAGGTGTATGACTTAATTAAATCTAATTCATGGTTCTGAATTTTGAAGCAGGAAAAGAGTGGTGACAATTTTCCTCTGCAGAGGAACTAGGACACCACTGTGACAGGCTCGAGAACTGGCATCAACCTTCAGCTACAGTCCTGCCCCAAACCCACTGGGTCAGGACACCCCCCTGAACATCCTCTGCTGGCTGCTCTGGCCACACATCTCAGCTGGCAGTTACAGGCAGTCCCCAGATTACAAACGAGTCCCATTTCTAAAAGCTCTCTTTAGGTTCAATTTGTACATAAATCAAGTCGGAACAGTCTGGTACAACTTGCATCTAAGTCAGTGCATTGTAAAGCAGCGCCCATCTGTTACTATCACCGCCAGACCTAGCTCAAATCTTAGCCCTAATAGGTTCTACAGGGCTTGGACGTTGGTAATTGGAGGACTGCCTGTACTTCACTCACGTTTTGGAATACTGGTACCAGGAAAGCTTTAGAGCACTGAAGGGGTTTTACCTCAAGATCGCCTTTGGTAATGGATTCTTCCTCAACCCGAAACTGAAGATCTTCAACCTTCCTGTGGATTGAAACCCAAACAAAGTATTTGTTGCTGTTGTTATTAAGAGCTGCCAAATGAGTTCTGACTCATAGCAACCCTGTATAGGGTATGTAGTGGGTTACGAGTTGGGCTGCTAACCACATGGTCAGCAGTTCGAATTTACCAGTTAGTAGAAAAAAGAAAGATAAAGCAAAGATTTATAACCTTGTAAAGCCTAGACAGGGTCACTATCAGTCAGAACCTACTTCACAGCACATAACCACCACCACCATACAGTTCCTAAGGAGTGGCTGCTGGGTTTGAATTGCTGAGCATGTGGTTAGCAGTCCAGTGCACATCCTATAGCACCATACTTAGGAAAGCGTAACTAAAGCAGATCTACAACTACTTTAAAAAAATACAATTACACTGAATACCCTAGTAAATTCAGCAGATGATCAGAAGAAAGTAAAGGGGAAAAAAAGGTTTAAAAGACAAAACAGTCCTCTGGTTTCTAAATCTAAGAGCTCTTCCCTCATTATTTCATTTTATCCAGGTACTGAATCCAGAAGGCATGAGGTAAGAATGAGGAAAAATCAACAAGTTCTTAGTAACAGACAGCAGAAGATAACTAAGACAAGATCAGTCTGTAGGAGAAAAGTCTGATTACCCCAGAAATACGTTTGAGATTTCAAGTCAATAATATAGGAGACAGGGTAAAGTGGCATAGAAAACAAATCTTTCTTTACATCAACCCACATCAAACATTTAGGGGTAAAAAGAATATGCAGATTCAGAAAATATACACTGAACGCCCATTATGACGACGCACCAACGCTAACGGGCTACTTCACAAGGAGACCTCTGACCTTAAGCCTCCACACTACCAGTATGTGCTCCCAGACTAGGCGTGTAGGGTTGGTAATGATTTGAGGGAGATGCAGTCAGGATCCTATTTCTCTAATTCTAAAATGCACATTGTCATCATATTTTTAAATCTCTGACCTAGGCATTTGAGATCAAAAGGGCAGCATCTGCCCTAGGAGAAAGCTCAGAAGGCAGAAAGGGATACAAAAGACGGACAAATGGAAACAGGAAACACAGCAAGAAGTGGAGCTGGAAATTCATGTCATAAATCAAAATATGTATGAATTATTGAATGAGAAATAAATTTGCTCTGCAAATTTTCACTCAAATCATAATAATTACTTAAATTCTGAAACTGGAATGTGCATTTCAATAATGCTGTCAGAGGCACTGAAATATATTCAATATAATCCAGGTAATATCCACATTGTGAATCTTTACAAAACTGGGTGTAAAAGAGAAGAAACACAGAGGGTTCAAATGCATAAAGATTAAAAAAAAAATTTATTCTTTTTTAATTCAACAGCATTTCCAAGCAACATTAAAAATTTTTTGAAATACTACCCAGATTAAGTTACAAATGTTATCTGAAAGCTCACTGAAGACCCAGGAGACATTTCCACTGTCTGGAAGTCTGTATAATAACAGCTGCTTTAATAACAGAAGCTAATGGTACTGGTACCTTGGCAGTCAGAAGACCCTAGGAGAGAGCTTATCAATATTTCTCATATACATGAAGCCATTTAGAGGCTACTAGGAAAGTGTTTCAGGAGTCCTGGTTTGGTGCAAGAATAGCAGTTCAAATCCACTAGAAATGACCAAAGACGGCATTAAATACCAGGGCAGACACACTTCCTGTTCAAATGGTTACTGCGCAGACACATTTTTCTTGCCCCAAGAGACCTCCCTGTGTAAGAATCCAACTTGCCTTCACTGCCTCACACAACTTAACACTTGATTTTTTTCTGACTGGGAAGAAATATCTAATCATTTGTTTCTTGTCCTAATAATGAATAGAGTTCCTCAAGGACAGGGATCTTGTATCACCAATGACACAACACAATTCTATGTGATACTTAGAAACGCTTCATAAATTTCAGTTCACTGAGACCTGGAATAGCATTCCAAAGAGAGGTGACCCAACAGAATGCTGAAATCATCAGACAATCTCTGGTATCCCATGCGAGTAAAGTTTTACTAAAGGTAATACAGAAACGGCTACAAGCATACATTGACAGAGAACTTCCACAAGTTCAAGCTGGAGGCCATGGAACGAGAGATATCATTGCTGATGTCCAATGGATCTTGGCTGAAAGCAGAGAATATCAGAAGGATGTTTACCTGTGCTTTATTGACTGCGCAAAGGCTTTCAACTGTGTGGATCATGACAAGCTATGGATAACATTGAGAAGTATGAGTATTCCAGAACACTTAATTGTGCTCATGAGGAATCTGTACGTGGACCAAGAGACAGTTGTTTGAACAGAACATGGGAACACTGAATGATTTAAAATTAAGAAAGATGTGTGACACGGTTGTATTCTTTCACCATACTTATTCAAAAAGCTGGGTTCTATGATGAAAAACATGGCTTCAGGATTGTAGAAAGACTCATTACCAACCTGCAACATGCACATGATAACAACCTTGTTTACTGAAAGTGAAGAAGACTTAAAATATTTACTGATGATCAAAGACCACAGCCTTCAGTATGGATTGCATCTCAATGTCAAGAAAACAAAAATCCTCGCCACTGGACCAATAAACAACATTCTTATCAACGGAGAAAAGACTAAAGTGATCAAGGACTTCATTCTTCTTATATCAACTATCAACACTCATGGAAGCAGCAGTCAAGAAATCAAACGATGTATTGCATTAGGTAAATCTGCTGCACAAGACCTTTTTAAAGTGCTGAAGAGCAAAGATGTCAGCTTGAAGACTAAGGTGCGCCTGACTCAAGCCATAGTATTTTCAATAACCTTATATGCATGCAAAAGCTGGACAGTGAATAAGGAAGACCGCAGAAGAATTGCTCTTTTGTGTTGTGTTATGGTGCTGGAGAAGAATACTGAAAGTGCCATGGGCTGCCAAAAGAACCAACAGATCTGTATTGGAAGAAGTGCAGCCAGAGTGTTCCTTAGAGGCCAAGATGGCCAAACTTCGTCTCTCATACTTTGGACATATTGTCAAGAGGGACCAATCTCTGGAGAAGGATATCATGTAGAGGGTCAGAGAAAAAGAGGAAGACCCCAGCGAGATGAATTGGCAAAGTGGCAGCATCAATGGGCTTAAGCGTGGCAACAATAGTGAGGTTGGCCCAGGATCAGGCAATGTTTCTTTCTGTTGTGCATAAGGTAGCTATGGGTCAGTACCGACTTGATGGCACCTAACAACAACAAACAGCTCCAGATAGAAGTTGAGGCTGCACTACTTCAGCCAGGCTCAAGAGGGCGTCTGGCACAAGGAGACACACAATAAACACGTGCTCCATCAATCAGACCAAGTTTCAACGAGTTCACACTTCTTGAACAACAAAGTGAACCTTCCTCACACAGTAAGAGGTCAGTTTCTACTAAACAGAATTATTCTCCAACAGAATTAGTAATAGGAAAATGTTCCTAGGATTTCTTAAAAGGAAAAGGCCACACTTGCACCAGGAAAGAGCATGGGATCACCTTTTCTCCTCTTCAAGTTGGTTAAGAAGCTCCACCTTCTCCCTGTCAGCTGCTTCCACCATTGTTCGCAGTTGGTCCATCTTGGCCTCCAATTCCAGAACATGCTGAGGAAGACAGGGATGGCAGTGAGTGGCATATTCTGACCCAGATACAGACCCAGGGGCACCTCCAAAGAGCTAAGACTAAGTGGTACAATGGTAGGGTACTAAAACCTTTCCACATTCAAATGCTTTATATGACCACTAATGGGTTACTTTCGGAAGCTAGACGATGAAATACCACACCATTAGATTAAAAAAACAACTCTTGTTTTTTTGTTTTGAAACTGAAACACATACAAAGGATAATCTACAAAACAGGATGTGTAGGCACAGGTAAGGTCCTAGTAAACAAGTTGGCGTAACGCAGAGAGACTCTGGACATAAAGACCAAAAGACTACTATAGACTCAAGAAGAACAAAACTTCATCTTAAGGAGGATGGAAACTGGTACCATAGGTCACAGCTTTCACACAAGCCCAGCAGGTAAATTCATACTCATCTCCACTACTCTCAAGACTAGCTCCCTGGCTCCAAGCACCAGGCATGCCTTTTGGCCTCCTCACTCAGCTTAAGAACCATCACCATCTCCACCACAAGACCAGCGCCAGACTTCACCTGATCGTGTCCATCCCGAGCCAGAGCTAGCTCCTGCTCTATCTCCCCCACGTGGCTCGTGGCCTTGGCCACCTCCGCCCTCTCTAGATCCCGTTCAGCCAGCAGCTGCTCAATGTGCTGCTGCTTCTCCTTCAGGGCCTCTTGGAGGGCAGTGGTGCCGGAGATCTTCCTGGCGTACCGGGAGGAGGTCTCAGTCAACTGCAAAGGAAAGTTAAAGAAGTGAAGGGCGATGATGCCATCAGGGAACCAGGGAGGGAGCAAGGCATGCATGGAGGGCGGCTCCTCAGCAAAGCACATAGCTGCCCCAGCTCACAGGCTTGCCCGTTACTAGGCTTGTCGTCAAGACACAAGGAAGCATGTAGCTGCTGTCAGGAAATTTCACACAGAACCAAAGTAAAGAGATCACAGAACAATCACACAACATGAAGAGGTCACAGAACAAACAATATGAAGAAGGTGTCTGGAAGGAGAATGCATGACTCAAAGCAAAGGCACCATGAGCTCAGTTGGCAGGACCTCACAGCAATCTAGAAAACCCTCACAGAAGCCACTTAGGCCGTTTCTCCAAAATCCATTTCTGCCTGAGCTTCATGAATACTTATCTTTTTGTTAAGACATCTGGCCAATCTTTTGAGCCTTCAACTTGAGGTTGATACATTCTCCCAACTTCTTTAGATTCTAGATTCTATTAAGTAAGCAAGAGGCCACACACCGTGGCACCCAAACCTTCCTTTGGTTGATTAAACAGTTGGATTGTTGTCAGGATTTTCTTCATCTTTCTATCAACATGAAAGGCATACGAACAAGATCTCATCCCAATCACCAGAGAGCTTTACGTAGAGACAGTTAAGAATGGGGGTGAGCACCCAAGTGCTCGAGCATGTATATCCTTGGCTTGTACACACACACAGAGAATAAGGGGAGAAAATTGAGTAGAAAGAGGGAATACTAAAGGAGGAGGGAGGAAGGAAGAGAAATGATGGAGAAAGAACTACACAAGAAGATGGAGGAGTCGAAAGAGGGGTGGGGAATGGGGTGGGGAAAGAAAGCTTCTATGTGTCTATCTGTTGATCTTCACTGCTACACTGGCTTCATTCCTCATTTTAAGACTAACAATCATGGATAAACACAGAGAACAATAACTTCAACACACAATATGTCTGTGAAATATTAACAGACAATTCAGCAAGTTGAATAATACTTCTTCCAGGCTGATTCCAGGGGCTGGTAGGTGGTTCAGGAAAAGGACTCATTCCTTGGCAGCGTTGGATTCTAGCTCTACATCAATCCAGGCTAAATGGAATCGTTGATAATCGCAGCCCCATTTGTCATCTGAATGCTCTTCTATTAATCAGGCCACCTGAGCCCTGGTGGCAGGATACAACGGACAGTGAGCCTCTCTCATCAATTAATCATTAGGCAGTCTGATAATTGTGAGAGTAAAGGAATCCATCCAATCAAATCGACACTGCCCTTTACTGTCCCTCCTTTTACAGACTAGGGGAAATTTCTGTTCTCTTTTAACTATCTGACCTTCAATTTCCAATTCCATTATGTGCTTAAATTAGATTTCCTCTTGCTAACATTTATTCCTGACTATGCTTTATCTGAGGAACTCTGGGAGTGTAGTGGTTACAAATTGGGCTGCGAGCTGCAAGGTCAGCAGTTCGAAACTACCAGCTGTTCCGCAGGAGAAAGATGAGGCAGTCTGCTCCTGTAAAGATTTACAGCCTCGGAAACCCTGTGTAGGGTCGCTATGAGTCGGAACCGACTCCACGGCACATAACAACAACATGCTTTATCTGAGGTTCCCAAACCAGGTACATAGACTATAGACTCCCCAGTGCACTGCAGCAAACAGGGCACTGTGGGACATTGCCAATTTTCAAGGGAAACGCAGTACCATCTGTTAGACACCACGCAAACTACTAGCTCAAGGCAATTCTGTTTCAACATTACATTGTACTTACTACCTTTCTTTCCTTAGCATTACATCTTTGCAAAGCTGGGATGTGGTTACTGCCACGATCAGAAAGCAAGTACTGTGTAAAAATCAATGTGACCTAGGAAACGAGAATAGCATTTTCCTTTTTTAACTTTGTAGTTTACCTTTCACAATTAGATTTTTTTTTAAATACTATTTTATTGTGTTTTGAATGGTGGTTTACCCAGTTGCTGAGGTTTCCATTCAACAACTTCTGCTCCCTTGCTCAGTGACACTGGATCTGTCCTTCACAGTGCACCAGCATTCTCACTATCTCAGTCCCTTCCCATTGATCTAGCTACCCTGTCCCTTACATTCTCATGTTTTGTCTCTCCTGAATTTTATTTTGTTGTTGTTGAGACTATACACAGCAAAACATACACCAGTTCAACAGTTTCTAAATGCGCAATTTAGGGACAATAATTACATGCTTTGAGCTACATAACCCATCCTCAATCTCCTTTTCTGAGTTGTCCTTCCCTCATTAGCAACTAAGCTTCCCAAGCCCCTAAGGTTCTAGCTCATCTTCTGAGGTGTCTATCTGATCCCACGGAGCTACTTTGTAACACAGCACAGTGCTCAAAGCAGACCTTTTTTACTAGTTAAGCTAAACTACAGTTTGATCTTAAGACTTCAGGGGATATTTTAGGTTTAAGGTTTAAAAATTATCTCAGGACATTCATTTCAGGGGTTCATCCATGCTCCAGAGAATCTAGAGTCCATTGCAATTTGAAATTCTCTTTTGTAATTTCCCCTTTTTGATAAAATTTCTCCTAGGGAATTTTTGATCAAAATGTTCAGTAATGGTAGGTGGACACCATCCAGTTCTGGTCTCACGGCAGACTAGGCAGAGCTAGGTATTCATGGAGGTTCATCTTTGGTTTACAGACACTGTCAACCATTTGTTTATGTAAGTCATTTTTTTTTTTTAAAGGAGCACTGTATTTATAGGTGATAATCCTTATTTTGTAAGCCAATCTGTTATTTAGTTCTAATGGTACCCTGAAGTCCTGGTGTAGGTGGCACTGTGAGTTAATGCGCTGTACTACAAAAGTGGGTTGGAACCACAAGGCCAGTGGTTCAAGCTCACCAGCTGCTCAGGATCACTGTAAGTCAGAACTGACTCAACAGCACATAACAACAACAACAAGAATGAAATTAAAACATTATTTTTTTCTTTGAACTTTTGTGTACCACATATTTTCATCAAATGGCTACTAAATTGTCATTAGGTATCATCTAGTTGATTTTTGCCTCATTGTGACCCTATGTGCAGAGAACTATCTCATAAGGTTTTCTAGGTTGTAATTTTTACAGAAGGAGTCCTAGCATGGCCCTATGGATTAATGCACTGGACTGCAAGGTCAGTTTACAAGGTCAGCAGTTCAAACTCACCAGCCACTCCTGGGAAACCCTACACAGGGTTGCTATGAGTCGGACCCGACTTGACGGCACTTAACAACAATACTGTTTTACATATTTTCTGGAGTCCTGGTGTAGTGCTGTGGGTTAATGCCCTGGACTGCAAAATTCAGTTTGAACTGCAAGGTCAGTGGTTCAAGCTCACCAGATGCTCCTTGGAAACCCTCTACAGGGTCGCTATGGGTCGGAACCGACTCGAACGGCACTTCACAACAACAACCTTTACAGGAACAGATCACCACAAAGCTGCTGTGTGGGTTCCAACTGCCAATCTTTTAGTTAGCAGCCAAGTGCTTAACTGCTGAGCCATGAGGGCTCTTTAGACATAAATATTAAGTGGTCTGAACTTAATAAACAAAACTTACCTACTTATTTTTGCTTAGGGAAACTCAGGGAAGTAACTGAGACACTAAATGTGCCAAGAACCCAGAAAGTTTGGGAACCTCTGTGCATATGATCATTTTGCTTTAGAGAACCTTCAGACTTTCTATAGATGCCTGCAACTATCTGGATTCCGAGACGCCCTGCGGGCCACTGCTGCTCCATTTTAAATTTGATTATTAGCCTTATGAGTCCTGGTGTGGTGCTGTAGAATACTAACTACAAGGTCGACAGTTCAACTCTACTCACCACTCTCAGAAAGGTGTCGCTTCAAGCCAGAACCGACTCGATGGCACACTACCACGACAACATAATCAATATAATATTTTAATATTCAATGCTATGTTTAGGAGCTCAGCTCAGTTTATGAACGATCAGAGGCTCAAACCACAGGCTGTGCAGTAGGAGAGGGGACCCAGTGACTTGCTTCCATGAAGATTTCAGTAGAGGAAACCCCATGGAGCACTTTGGCTCTGTCCTATGGGGTGTCTCTGGAGTCCTGGTGTGGCACTGTGCGTTTATGTGCTAGACTGCAAGTTCGAATGAAACAAAAGGTCGGCAGTTCAAGCTTACCAGCTGCTCCTCAGAAACCCTCTACAGGGTTGCTATGAGTCAGAACCTATGCAACAACAAGTCAGAACCTATGCAACAACAACAATGGGGTGTCTCTATGAGTCAGAATTTATTCAATGGCAGTGGGTTTGGTTTTTTCCAGGGGATATCCCTATCATATTCTTTCTTTTACGGTAACTCCTTATTTAGAAACTACAGCTACCCTATCCAAGATATATATGTTGTTGAGAAGTGCCGTCGAGTTGGTTCCGACCCATAGCGACCCTGTACAGGGTTTCCAAGGGTGTAAATCTTTACGGGAGTAGAAAGCCTCATCTTTCTCCCGCGGAGCGGCTGGTAGTTTTGAACCACTGACCTTAAGGTTCGCAGCCCGATTCATAACCACTACGCTACCAGAGCTCCTTATATAAGCATATATAAGCAGCCTAAAAGGCAGGGTGCAGGACAGGGCAGGGTCACTATGAGTCATCACAGCACCTAATAACAGGGAGGGAAGCTCATTGTTCTTGTCTGCATTCTTCACTAAAGTGAGGTGAGCTACCAAGTGTTCTAGAAAGAGAGGTGGGTGGGACCAGGGAGAGAGGCGGGTGGGACCAGGAAGGGTTTGATGTTTTCCCGAAAAAAGACCTTTTTTAATTTTTAAAAATATTACTATTAGGCAAAAAAAATTATTCTAGTAAGATTTCCAGTCTAAAATAGATACTCCCCTTGGAACTGTTTTGAGATTAGCCAGGTAGACCAAGTAGACGTAGACCAGGTGTCCTAAGTAACATTTGCTGGCCTTCTCTGACAAAAGTTTTGTCCAAACACAGGGCTCTCTTAACTTCATAAAAGTCCATTTGTAATTCCCCCACCCCACCCCCACACACCTGTGGAAGATGCATTTATTCATATGCAAATAAATCAGGTATCTATTTAGCCTAAATGTTAAGAGAAAGAAAGTCCAGTGCACAACCCCCATATAAAAGAATGATTCCACTGGATTGCCCTTCCCTGTCAGCTGCAAGAGAAATTCAGGCGAGAGGAGACTGCGGACCAGCACCCTGACTTTCCCATCACACCATTCCACGGTTCAACTCCCTGTCTGTCATGCACTGCTAGAAAGCACAGATCCTGCACACAGTAGGGCAGGATTTTATGCTGCCTTTTCAAAGATAAGACAGTTTTGCCTCATGTCGAGGTATAGTCTTAAGGACAGGGAATGAGGCCAAAAAGCTTTGCTTTTGTCTCTAAACAAACACCAAGCAGAATGAGGTGCTACCTATTTTAAATCTGAAATTTCTACTTTTCCTGCCCTAAATGGGATCAAAGCGGAAGGTAGGAAAAGAGGGAGAGGGAAAGGGAGGAACAGAGAACAGAATAGAGGAAACAAAAGATGGCCTTTCCTTACTTCTTTCAAGTTGTTAAGCACTCTGGTGGCACCATGGGTCAAGCACTGGGCTCCTAAGCACTAGGCTGGAGCCACTCTGCAGGAGGAAGACAAGGCGGTCTGAATCCATAGACTGACAGCGTGGGAGCCCTGTGGAGCACTTCTACTCTATCTTACATGGTTGCTAAGAGTTGGAACCTACTTGCTAGCAGTGGGTAAGTTTCAAGTTGTCAAAGTTTTCTTCTACATCCTCTGGCCCAAGTCAGGAAAACTCCCCACATGAATTCTTTCAGTAGATTAGACTATGTTAATTAATTTAAGACTAAGATTCTAAGAACACACCATTTCTCAAACTGCTTTGATTCCTAAATTACACAAGGCTAAAGAGAAAGAGATCTGCATACTCAAGAAAATAATCTTCCAGTTTCCCTGTCTTTCTTATTGCACCTAAAATAACTTCAGAAAACAAATGTATCCCATATGCTAGTCTAAACAGCAGTTATTACATATTTATCAAGAACTAGTACATTTTAAAGTCTGAAAAATTGAAAACGGATCATTGAATGCCTTTTTCTATTTCAAAAAACTGTATATTCTGGCTTGAGTTCCTTTTTTTTTTTTTTTTTTTTTTTTTAACTTACTCCTAGGGAATGTCACAGCAGGGCTACAACTAACATTCAACACAAGGACAGGGGAGATTCTTTTTCATAGCCAAGCAGGTGCAGGGGCAGGAGTGAGGAGCGTGGGGGAAGGAAGGGAGGCTTACTAATCCCGTCCGACTGGGCTTGCTGCTCACGGAGGAGGCTACCGAGCTCATGGAGCTGAGGGAGGAGGCTGAAGGGCTGCGCTTCAGGCTGGCGGGCGTGCTCGCCATCACTCGCCTCACTGCAGCAGCCTTGGCTTTGGCAGGTGTCGTGGAAGGGAAGCCAATCTTGGTGACTTTGTGAACAGGTGCAAACAAGCCATATTTGGGTTGACACTGAAAATACCTTTAAAGAACAAAATAGAAACAGTGAATAAAAATGCCCACCTAATGAAATAACAACTGTAACCAAAATGTTTACCAAAGTCTTAATTCATGACTGGTTGGCTATGAATTCTACCAGTGAGCTGAGGTCATCCATTCATGTGTGAGCTGATAAAGGACTCTCAGTGATGTTTTGGAAACATACTAATGATAGAGACAGGGTTACTCATCTTCTACTAAGGTGCTCTGCAAAAGTAATGACTATTTCCACCATGTGATCAATGTAAAGCAGAGGAGGTCAACAACATAGCAACCTCCCTTACTGTGACCAAACCAAACAAAGAGAAAGGAAATCAAGCAGACACTCAACTCTGGCAGAGCCATTAATGTCAATGTGGAGAATATCAACTAGTAATGTCAGTTAATGGCAGGTTTGAAACTCATTACCTTATGGCTCAAGACAATTAAAATGTTTTAATGTCAAGAAGGGATGGCGTCACAGCCAAGGAGTAGATAGGTTTATAGGACAGGACAACAACACCAGTAAGTCATGCTCACCATGGAATGGTCCTATCATTCAAAATCAAAAGGGCAACATTTTCCTAAGGACAAAGTTGAGAAGAGATCAGAAGGTGGATGCAATGGGAACAAGAGTCACAGTGAGGGAGCAGGATAACTGTGTTGCATGGCGGGGATTGTAAGCACTGAGATGAAACAAAGTGTATGACTGTTGAATGTAAAACTAACAATATTGTCTATAAACCACTCAATTCTCAATAAAAAGTTTGGGTTTTTTTTGTTGTTGTTGTTTTGTTTTTTAAAAAAGAAGGGATGGCTTCAGAATTGTTGTAGCATCAAGATAGTGAGATACCCACAAGGCACTACTTACTATATTTAATTATAAGGTGTATGTTTTAAAATCAATGTTTTGTAAGTAAAATGTAAACCGTAACCTTTTGATATTTAAAGCTGTCCACTAATATATACTCCTACCATTAATGCATTATATGCCAGGCCTGTCCCAGTGCCTTCAAACCTTTAAAAAAGGAATGTGAGAAATTCTTCCTTGAATTCATTTGCATTCTTTAACTGCCATCATGTCTCTGGGAGGAGACAGTAGGGTTATCGTCCTAAAAGAAGAGGTATAGACAATGGAAACAGGGAACCCAGGGAGGAAACAGGGAAAGTCCTGACACATTGTGGGAATTACAACAAATGTCACAGAACAATGTGTACATGAACTACTGAATGGAAAACTAATTTGCTATGTCAAATTCCACCTAAAGCACAATAAAGTGTCAAAAATAAAATACAATTTAAAAATAAATGAAAGAGAAGAGTCATGCCTGCTGTTTCTTGGATAGGATGGAATTCTTAGGGTCAGACACAAAGACACACTATACATTCTTTCTCAAAAAAATTCATTTCCTGATCTCTATCCTCCACACCTCGACACCCAGGACGGAATTCACTCAGAGGGTACTTGTTATCAAAAGGGTGAGAAGCCAAAAAGATGGCATTTATTTCCTTTCTATGATGGAAAACAAAGTAAATGCTTGTTTGGAATCACCTCAAATACAAAATATATATTGCCAAAGAAACAGGAGAAAGAGCAACTCCAGTTCTAGTTGGGGAGAAACAGCAGCTGAGTCTTTGAGTTGAAGGCAATGTCTGTTTGTTTCACTGGGGTAGGGTGGGGGGTCTTAAGGTGCAGACTTAGCAGTACTATCTCCAGGCTAGTATGTACTCTGGTGAGACCTGCTTGAGTCCCTCCACGGGTTAGGAGGGAGACCCGACGCCATGCACTCCCACACAAACCTTGTTCCAGCAACAGCTCCATCGTTCTTCCCAAGAGGTTCGTCTAACTCCACGCCACACCATTCCCCCTTGGCAAAGTCCGTCTCCCCAAGAAACCGGACCACACCAGCCTTTGTGCCGCCAACCTGTACAAAGACAGTGTCAGAATGAAAAGAGACAGGCATAATTTCAGAGCACCCTCTTTCCTGGTTCTAACACATAGGCCTGGACTTACATTATCAGAGTGATTGAAAGCCCTAAATAGCTTAATAATAACATTACCAAAGTAACAAGGATGCCTAACTAACAAAATTAAGACTACCCACCAAATTCATGATTCCCTTCCTAAGGAGCCCTGGTAGCATAGTGAGTTAAGCACTGAGCTGATAACCAAAAACCAGCAATTCAAACCCAACCAGAGGCACCTGGGAAGAAAGGCTTGGTGATCTGCATCGAAAAGGTCATAACCGTGAAAGCCCCCATGGAGTTCTACTCTACAGCCATGGAGTCACCATGAATTGGACATGACTCGATGGCAACTATATATCACCTAGGGAGAAAGGCTATATGGGAGGGATTCGAGAAGAGCTGTATAGAAACATCCCAGTGACAGAACAGGTGTCACTGGGGACAGTTAGTGGCTGGGGAAAACTCCATGGGCAGGGACTTCATCGTGCTTATGACTGCAACTGGCAATGTCTGGCAGAGCACAGAACAGGCATTCCACACACATCTGTTGAGTGAATGAAAAGAGACCATCTCAGCTGGGACCTTCATTGAAAAGGTCACTTTTCCATGTTCTTGAAGTCAAACCAATTAATTAAAAAAAAAAAAAAAACCCTGGCTGAGGTTGAATTTGAATATGATTTTTCTGGAGCAAGTAGATCTGCTAACCCAGAGCCTGGGATCTAAGACTGGACAAAGTCAACCATTAGCGCTGTCTATTAATTGGTTAATTTACTGAATCTCTCAAGCTCTGTTTCTTCATTAGTAAAATGGAGATCATCAAAGGACTGCTTTGAGACATCAAAATGCTTAGCAAAGGAAATGACAGTTAGTTTCTCTGTTAGCAGCTAATCTGTGTATGCTAACAAGTAATAGTCATAGCTTCAGCACATTGGACGTTTTCATATTCTTGCCAGTACTTGTGGAATCTACATATAGCCACATATAAAATGAGCCTCAGTTTTCGCCTTCCTCTTAGCACCAGCCTCCTAAGCAGAAGTCCAACAACATCACATGAGCAGAACACAGCACATTAGTGAAAGATGATGCAATCTCTTCAGTTAGTCTTTTGGGTTCTTTTGGGGTGAGTCTAACTTGCTGTCATGAATACTGTGGTCAGTAATTCTCCAAGAAAAACACAGGCTTCATTCAAATCCTTAGTTTTGTTTTTTAAAAAGATAACCACAAATAACAGACTAATAGCTCTGCTCTAAATGCAGGTAATACATTATTCATTGACACTGAAAAAATATAGACTATGACATCAAGTTTTTAAAATAAATGACTTGTTCATATTAAGTGCTGTCAATGGGTTCTGACTCATAGCAACCCTGTACCTATATAAGGGTTTCCAATGAGCAGCTGGTTGGTTTGAACTGCCGACCTTAGGGTTCACAGTCCAGTGCTGATCTTACAGTGCCACTCCAAGAGACAACTAGCTCCTCCAATGATGCTGAAGTCTAGTAACTGCTCAATGAAAGATGAGGCTTTCTGCTCCGGTAAATATCTACAGCACTGGAAACCCTACTCAGAATCAAGTCATAAGCAGTGGTTTCTGGTTTTCCTAGAATAGGCAGTTTTATTAAGACTTTTTTTTCTACTAACCTTGGAATTCTTGACTCATCTTAATAGCTGGTATACATTTCCTTTCCAATCAAAGATCAATAGTAATCACTCAAAATAGCTTCAATGGAGACCTAAAATACCTGAAACGCTTTCCTATTTAATCATTCCACAGTCAAAAGTTGTTCTTAGCAGTTTCAGAAGATCCAGAGTATTCTGGTACTGCATGCATTTCCATTAAGTATAAGCCACAATTTTCAAGTCAAATCTAAGAAATCTACAGGCTAGAGCAGGGGTGGAATGCCTAGTGTGGCACTATAGGATAATACACTGGACTGCAATGTCAGTTTGAACTATAAGGTCAGGGTTCAAGCTCATCAGCTGCTACTCAGAAACCCTAACATAGGGTTGCTATGAGTTGAAATCGACACGCCAGCACTTCAGAACAACAACAAGAGTTTGGGTGAGTAATGTCCGGCCCGTGGGCTATAAGGTCATTACATCTGACCCTGCCAAGTTCCAGCCATCACACTGTTGTTGTTGTTGTAGAGTGCCATGGAGTCAGTTCCAACTCATCACCATCACACTGTTGTTACTAAGTGCCATCAGGTCAGTTCCTATCCATAGTGATCCTGTACAGACTTTCCAAGGAACAGCTAGTGAGCTTGAGCCACGATCTTGCAGTTCAAACAGACTTTGCAGTCCAGCTCACTAACCCACAGGGCCACACCAGGACTCCTAGACATCATATTGTTGCTGTGTTCTGAAGTGCCGTCGAGTTGGTGCCGACCCATAGCGACCCTGTATAGGGTTTCCGAGGAGCAGCTGGTGAGCTTGAACTGCCGACCTTGAAGTTCAAATGGCTTTGCAGTCTGGCGCATTAACCCAGAGTGCCACGCCATCATATTAGCGGTGAGCTAACTAAATGTTTGACCAAATATAGCAGGCTATTTTTTTTCTCTTTTCTCTCTTGCTTTTTAAGTTTTTATTGTGAATTGAGTGAAGGTTTACAGACAAGATTATCAGTTTTACATTCAATAAATCATATATTTTGTTTCATTTCAATGATTACAACAGTCATCCTAGTAGGCTAATTTTTAAGTTGATAATTTTGTACGGCCCACAAATGATTCTAAAAATTTTGGCAGGAAAAGGTTTCTCACTCATGGTCTAGAGAGATATCAAGTTTATTAAAGAAAAAAAGAAAGAAAGAAAAGGCTACTGCATTTACAAGTCCATGTAAAAACTGTTGAAGTCGGGTATGTTCTGCTGTGTATATTTTCAACAATGAAAATAAGACAAATTATAAAAAAAGAAAGCATTGAAAATATATATATATATTTTCATATATACAAAGAGATTCCCACTGCAAAATAATTCACTACCATTCATTCTCTTTCCTCCAAGTATAATTCACTGTCATCAAGTCAATCTTGGCACCTAGTTACCCATAGAACAGAGCAGAACTACCCCACAGGGTTTCCGAGACTGGCATCATATGGAAGCAGATGCCATACCTTTCTCCCACAGAGCAGCTGGTGGGATTGGACTGCAGTGGAGCATATGAAGTACTGTGCCACCAAGGCTCCTTTTACTCTAAGTAAGCAAGCATGTAACTCCTAACATTCTAGTCCACAGGTCAAAATTGTAAGTCACTAATGGAGACAACAATCAATTTATGCCAAAAAGCTCTATAAAAGATACACTCAGCAATGTTTTCTTTCTTCAACGTGTATTTCCTGAGTCCTTGGGCCTCTCAGTTCACAGTACTGGCCAATGAGGAAGAGAGAAGATTCAAAGAATTATTTACAGCAAAAAGGGATAAGCATTTCAAGAGGGTTCTGTGAAAAAGGATACAAGTACTCTTCTGTAAGGGTCGGAACCGAGTCCACAGCGCTTAACAACAACAACAACAAGACTTCTGTAGGTTCTTGTGAAAATAAAAACACTGGTAAATTCTGCAGGGTTAATGAATGGCTCCAGAAACAACAGGAAACAGGAAATAGCTCATTCTGTCCAGACTCTGCCATCTCTCCATTATCCAAACCTAAGTCAGACCCTGCGCCTTGGTTTATAATGCTATCAAATGTCCAATGAGTGGTAATGTGGATGGTTCTACAGGAACTTGGTAAGCAATAAGAGCTGGATAAGTGTCTTAATAAAATCAGTAAGTATGGCTAACTGACATTTACCAAATACAAATTTAGCCCTGACGTCAAACTTAATCACCTGTGAAATGAAGGCTCCCCCCAGCATTGATACTTTACATTACCTTAACTAGAGAGTCATTTCAGCCATGACAATTCTCATAGAGAGAGGTAAATCTTCATTCCCCAGCTTTTACTCATTGGTCCTATTTCTATTTCCTGTTATACTTTGCACTCTTACTCCTCTTCATCAACAGTATATGAGGGGTTTCACAAAATTCATGGGAAAAAATGGAATGAAAAGATGGAATTTTTTCAAGAATTTTTTGAAGCCCTCTCGTGTAATGTGACAGCTGGATTCAAAACGTCCCAATTCTCTCATGAGGACTAACTTAATGAGTACCTATAATGTGCCAAGCCCTGTCCTAAGGTGCTGAGGATACAATATGAGAAAGACAAGAAGATCTCCATGCTTCCGGTCAAGGAGAAGCAGAGACATTAAGTTCAGGAATAAATGAGGGAGCATTTCAAATCATGAAGTGTGCTAAGATAGTGTTGTGGAGGGTGTCTTTAGTTGGGAGCCAGAAAAAGGATGCCTGGGGGGGGTGGGGGAGTGGCATTCAAGTCAAGACTCAATGACTAAAAGGCCCGTCATGAGAAGACCTCCCAATAGAAGGAAGAACAGATCCTAAGATGGAAATCAGTTGAGGTGTTTAAGAAACTGCAAGGAAGCCAATGGAGTGGAATGAAGACAGAGGGAGAGAGTGGCAGGAGAAGAGATGGACGGGAGGCTGGGTCCAGCTTACTGAGGCCCAACAGGCCCTAGAAAGGAACTCAGAGTTCATTTAAAGCAATGGGAAGCCCTGTGAGAAAAGCTCTCTGGCACCTAGGACAATGGCTGGCCCACAGCAGACAAGTGTTAAAGACAGTGATAGAAGGCACAGTTTCTCGAGGTTAAGTCAGTAATCCTAGTTTCTTAACTCCCTTTATGACACTATAACCTGTGATGTTGAATAAATCCCCTTAAGCACTGATATGGCAAGAGCAGATAATATAATTTTGAATGGACCTTTGGCTGAAAGATGAAAATCTTACACCTTAGCCCCTGGACCTGTTTAATCTTCACTCCTACAAAGCATATGAACTCCTACCCTCAAGACTGTGGACCTCAGTCACTCTTCAAGCCTGGAACTGAACTCATCCTGTAAAAC